GGAGGTGGGGGCGGATGGGGGGCAGAGATGGGGCAGTCAGTCGCGATGCGATCAGGAGCAGGTCGAGAAGGCTAAGCGGGTAGGAGGGCGAGCGGGGGGGTTGAAGAGGTAAATATATTCACCCCCAGCTGCCCTTTACATCTCTGGCGCCACGAGTGGAGAGCCCCCGGTATACTTCTTTCCATACCCCAACCCCCACGTCAGTCCGGCTGGCACTTCCCCCTACCCCTGCGAGCGCGCAGTAGAGCCACGGAACCCCTCGCAACGCGCGCGTCGACCTGTGCAAAAGGGAGCAAGTTTATATTTCTCGTACTTTACGACTCAACAACACATTATTCGCATTTACCAACACGAGCAGTTTGGCGGTATTCTCGGCCCTGCCCAGCCACGTGTAGCGGCCCGGCGCCTATCAGGTCGGAAGAGAAACCTCACGGGCCATTATAAGAGCACCGAAAAGGCTTTTCTCCCAACTGCACTTTTGCACGCGCCGCACTCCGGCCCCGGCCGCGCCCACGGCCTCCCCTGGCCGCCGCCCCTGGCCCGCCCCCGGCCGTCTAATATCTCTCCGAGGCTGGCAGTGGCAGCGGCCGGGCGTGCGCCGGGCGGCCAGCCACGGGAAGGGCACGCGCCGCGGCGGGGCGGGGCGGGGCAGGGGAGGCAGGTGCCGGGCGGGGCCCCCGGGCCTCCTGAGCCTGGACCGGAGAGGATGCGGGCGCTGCCGACTCTGCCGCATCGAGGCGGACGGCACACCTGGTGTTTGTTACCTGGCCCGACGCGACGCTCGCAGGCATGCAGGGCGGCAGCCGCCTCCTGCTGGAAGGGTAGAACGTTCCTCCACTCACCCATCCCCCCTCACCTTGCTGTTGCTGTTCTCGTTTTTAGAAGGAGCTGCTTCCGGGTACAGAGAGTGCTGCTATAGAGGAATAGTACTTCCGGGCGGATCTCTCTAATCCCCGTCAAGTCGCAGAGTCAGCTCCCCGTAGCTGCACGGCCTCACCTGCAGCGCAGCCGTATATTTGCAATTCAAAGTCGACGGGCACGTCATCTCCGTCTAGCGCGTCGTCCCCGGCGTCATCCACATGCCAGCCACCACCGCGCCGCGACGGGGTCCGCGACGGTGGCTCGGCGGCGCGGCTCAACGCGAGCAGGGAAGCCTTAAATTAAATTTATCGAACCAAGAGGAGGTTTATGAAAGAAGCGCGCGGAGTGCCGGGCGGCTGGGGCGGGCGGGGCCGGGTCTCGGGCGGGCCGCCCCGCCCCGCCGTCGCACACATGTTGTTCCTTCCGGTGTAGTGCCTCGTCACGGGCACGGCCGGGGTGTGCGTGAGGGCGAACAGGATGCGCCCTCACAAAGCGGGCGTGGCGCGGGGAGTGGCGCAGCGTGGCGCGGCCCAGCTCCTCCATCAAGCAGTGCAGCGGCGTGCTGCCCCGCCCCCGCCCCCGGCCCGCGTGCGTGTGTGGGTGACGTGCCCCGCACCAGCGCACCCTGCTTGCGCGTCGTCCGCGGAAACACTGCTATTTTTAAACATGTCCGCGGCATACTCGTCGGCGGCGCTGGAAGACGTCGCTGTTACGCTGCCCTTCCCCTCCTCCAGGCCGTCCGGTCCGGACTCGTGTCCTCGGCGCGGCGCGGGGCGCGCCTGTCGGAACGAGCCTAGGCAACCCGCTGCGCAGCCATGCGACACCACCGTCAGGGGAGCCTACAAAAGAGCGCGTGATGCGGACTGCTACTGCGCCATTTTTTTGTGACGCGAAAATAACACGGTTGTGTGATGGCCATCCTCTCTTTTTTGAGCGATGCTTTGATTCCTTGCATTTTGTGCACATGATCTTTTTTTGTGTGCGATAAGCATCAGAGACATGTAAAAATGGTGCAGTTTAAGTGCAATAATAATAAACCTGGAGGTTCACATGGAAACGTCTGTATTTTAGCACACTCACACTCACAGTTAAGGTGTACGTTCCTTTTCTAGTAGATTTATTTAAGCAAAAACAAGCGCCAAAGAAATTGTTTTCTTGTCTGCAATTGGTTTCATCTCCTTATCGAGACTAAAAGCTAGCTGACACATAAGAGTTACTTAAAAAATATATCCTTTATGTTTTGTCAAAGAGTTTGTAAGGTATCATCTGCAAAAAAAACAAAAAAACAAAAACACACGCACTTGAGTTAGTTTGTCCTATAATTGTTATCGCACACGCGCAGAGCCATAGAAATGAATGTGTTTCTTGTTATTGACCGTACCGCTTGTCCGCTCGCAGGTGTGCACGTGCTTCCCCAGCGTCATGGGCCCGACCTACCCCAAGGCCATGGTGCTGGCGCGCTTCCTCGTGCTCTACCTGCTGCCGCTGCTCGTCATCTCGGGCTTCTACGTATGCATCGCCTTCCACCTCTTCCTCAGCGTCAACAACCTCAGCGCCACGGCCATGGCCGGCCAGAACACGGCCACGCAGATCAAGGCGCGCAAGAAGGTGGCCAAGACCGTGCTGTCGTTCGTGGTAAGAGGGGCGAGGAGGCTTGCGTTGCTGTCGGCACACGCATGTCGATCAATCGCCCATCGCCCATCTTGGCAATTGCCAAAAGAGACCGCTCTAGTTCAGTAAATTTCAGATGATAAAATCTGTTCGTTTATACCAGGTGACCTATTAACCCCGCGCACTTCTGTAGTTAGACTGTACCGCACGCACGAGTGCGGGCGGGTTGCCTACTCGCCCGGCCCGCAAGGCGCCGTGGACAGG